CCGTCAAAAAAGGGTACCCTAAATTTATCGTAAACGGTGCCTTTAATGCTTCGAGGGCACAGTTTGCGTTAAACGTGGTTTCTGAGATTTCTCCCAAGGTATAACCAGTGAAAATAGGATGGACCGAGGGACCGGGCCGAAAAACAGTCATGATAAGGCGTAGTAAGAGTCCCGGAACCGACGCTTAGCCGACGTACATACGTACTCAGGGCGGACGAGGAGTTGTAAAAGCTGTAAAGGTTGCACCACGTGCACCGGGACCTGTATCTTGAACGCATGTAGCGTATTGTTGCCAGCTGTATGTAAAGGCACGCGCATTCGATCAGGTAAACAAAAACACCTCTTCCAGTCAGCTTTTTGCGTAACACTCTTGCCCAGTCCCTAATTATACTTATTTTTGAAGCCTTATGTATTTCTCTGAACGTCTCGTCCCGTGTTCGCGGATCTCCTATTCATGTAGCAATGTACTGCGAAAGTAAAAATCCTAACCGCCAAGTAACAAATACTCCCCGAAGTACTCAAGCATTTCCTTTTTTTAAGAAAAAAAAAGGTTCTATCTCGTGAATGAGTGCAAACGACAGCTTCGCCTTGCAGTTCACAAAGATTTTTTCACGCACGCCAAAAAAGACCTGAAGTCAGTTGACAAGATACTTCGTAAATGCTGAATCGAAAGAGTTGAGAACAAATTTTATTTGCACATAATAAAAATCATTAAGAAAACTCGAGTAAGACGAAAACTTGAGAAAAAAATTCATCTTTGTGATAAGAAAAGCTCCGAGAGGGGCATTCAATATTGAGACGCGAAGAGAAACCTGTGTTAATCGTCTATATGATACGATTTCATAATAAATTATCAATTCAAAACAAAGTACACTTGGTACTACTGCACATATCACCAGAAAAAAAAGAACGAAACATCCGGATAGACAAAAGGGAACTGTCTCAAGTAATCAGGAATCATATGAACAGACAGCACTCGCAACAGAATGGCCTCTTTGCGGCACCAAATTTGCCTTAGTTTTACTTACTGTAATACACACGGTAGTAAAGGGTTTTCGATCGCCAAAGCGAATAGGAATTGTCAAATTTCAATAGATACACTCCTCTTCCGGGGTAACTGTGGCTTCCGGCGTAAACCTATGCAAAGAAAATGTCATTTATTAAGTTACGAAAAATAAAATATAAAAAAAGCAGTCAGCGGAATGGTCTCACCTCTTCGTGACAATCCCTCCTATACACGGGAATAATCTCATCCTGCTTAGGCTTGCTTGGATCACGAATGCGACGTTGCGGACCACCGCTCTCGACATCTCCCACCGCTGGATTTCCTCCTTAAAAAGAACCACATTTATTTATTTATTTATTTATTTATTTAACGGACATGTTGTAAACATGTGAAATGAGGAAAAGAACACAACCAAGGAAAAAGGAAATAAAACAAACTATAGGATCTTATAATAAACTCAACTAAGTGAAATGAACTTGTCAATGGATCTCTTGAAAGTACAATAATTTGGGAGGACGAGATTACGACGTAAAAGCGAATTGAAGCTAGATCTAACTCTGTTACTGAAAAACTGTGCTTTAATTTGGGTTCTTGCTGGCATGGTTGAAATCTTAGCGGAGGAGCCTCGCGTGTTTGAAGACACGATTGTGAAGAACTTGGATATATCCACGGGGGTTATGCCATTTAAAATTTTATATGCCATAAATATGTTACATTTCTTTCTTCTCCATTCAAGAGACTTTAGACCAAGTATCTTATTACGCTCACTTCCACTAGGTATTTCGTTATAATTTAAACGATGACTTCGCATCATAAGTTTACGAGTGAAGCTATTCTGAACTCCTTCCAAAGCATAAATATCTTTTTTCTTATAGGGTGTGAAAACAGTAGATCCACATTCCAAAATGGGACGGACGTAGACCTTGAAAGCCCTAAGCAGAGTTTTAGAGTCATTGGTGCGAAGCACCTTGAAAACATTGAAACTTCGACGGAGGGCTTTTGAAACTAATACTTTATAATGATTAGAAAAGTTAAGAGTTCTGTCATAATGAAATCCCAGGTCGCGGACTTCTGATACAACTTTAAGTGTTGAGCCGCCCAAACGATATGAAGGATTTCGAGCATGTTTACCCAGGCACAGCATTTGAGTTTTCTCAATGGAAAGAGGAATATGATTCCTTTCAGACCATTCAGCTACTTTATCAATTGCTTTTTGGAGATTTATGTCAGACCCGACTCCGAAGACCTCTTTATAGATTTTTATGTCATCTGCATAGAGGTTGCAAACAACGCCAAGATCCTTAAGAAACCAGGGAAAGTCTGATGTAAATATGTTAAACAAAACCAGTGAAAGTACCCCGCCTTGGGGTACTCCTGATTTTACGGTACGAACTGATGAGAAAGAGTCCTTCACTAAAACTTGAAATGTTCTATTACACAGAAACTCTTTTATCCAATTCCTCACCAGAGGATGAAAACCAAGATGTTCCAGCTTTTGAATCAATAACTCATGGGAAACCTTGTCAAATGCTTTTTGGAAATCAAAATAAACCACATCTACATTTTTGCCCCGATGGTTACCAAAATAGACGTCTTCATCCCCGTTTTGCACTACAACTCGTGTCATATCTGTTTTCAACGAATTAAGCGCTTCCTTGCATTCCGAGTTTCACCTAAATGGTTAAACCACTGATTTGAGTATGGCGGCGGAACACTCTTGAGATGATCAGGCCTTCCCTTAATGGAACCAAGTGCTGAAGGATTCCTTACCGACAAGGTAGCATCTCGAACGTTAGATTGGAGATGCGGCCACATAGTCTCATTAGCTACTCGAAATGTCAAGCCTAACGTACAGTAACCTTATGTCTTCTGCTAAAACAATTTTTTTCCCAATGAAGTTCCACAACGTACGTCACATGCATAAAATACGAGTGGAGGTACTTCTTCTCGAATTCCCACGACAGTGGTTTTTCAGTGGCTACCGTGTCCTTCCACTGGCAGTTCGAACTTTTTCCTTCAAAGCGCGCGACTGCGCGTGATCGGGTGCCGCGAGAGGCGATTTTTGGAGAGAACTGTCCATACGCATGAAACATAGCCTGTCCTCAATGAAACTCTCGGAACGTTCTTAACAAAAACGACATTCAAAGCGACTCAAAGCACTGACTCATCACTGCGCTATCTTTAGACAGTTTTCACTGTTATAAGGCCTTACAGGGCATACTGAGAAGGATTAAACAGATGTTCCTTACATAGGATCTCCATCTCCTCTGAACACTATTGATAAATGGGTTTACCTGGAGCGGGTGGTGAGGCTCCTGCCTCAACCCCCTCTGCAGCTGCCTCGTCGTAATCTTCTTCATCGTCGGATTCGCTCACGTGGATCGAAACCTATGAGCCAAAATAGCTGTAAAGGTTCGAGGCTAACCCTTACTGGGCCAGTTACCTGATTACTGTCAGCAATAGTCCATTCGAAATATACACCGAAGCCAATGTCATAATAATCGGTAGCGAACTCCCAAAAAAGGCATGTTCCGTCTTCATGAGTGGGAACGCGGACCTGAAAAGCCATCATAATGGGTAAGGTGGCTACTCGTGAAGAGATATATGAACAGCCGTCTGAAATCGGCCCAGGGCTTAAGTAGGATTTCTTTCCAACACAGTAGACTAAAAAGGATAAAAAGGATAGGAGGACAAAACAATAGAAATGCACGTTTTTCATGATTGCTGCATGTCACACCTGTCCATGTTTCTACCATGTGCTCATACCTTCATTGAATTAATATTAACGTTTTTACAAGCAAGCAGAAAACGGATTTTTTGACCAAAGCTTCAAATACAAATACTGCCGTTGAGTTCCATCTCTTGGACAAAAAGCTTCGAATCATCTCGATCGTAAAACAAAACGTTTCTACTCAGTCCTCTCTTTATAAGCGTAAATTTTGAAGCCCTTGACAAAGGCTTGAGGGTATGGTGCGAATCAAGCATCAATATAATGAGGTCATCGGACAAAAAGCGCTAAAACATCATGCCTACCATCATAACGGAAAAAATAAGAACTTATAAATAGAATAAGTAAAGCAATGACCAACTATGCTCGTTTAGAGAAGGATTGTGTTTACTCGGATCAAAAAATTTGAATGTATTCTTATTTTGGACGTTTGACAAGTAAATTGTTGACCTATGAGATGGATTCTCAAGCTCGAAGGGGCTTTTTTGCCAGAGTAAAAAGACTTGCTCCATTCATGGTGTAGCTGTGGACTACTGCAAATTTATTTGGTCCATCTCAACAGAAAGGTACTGAAACGATGCTGCGTGCGCGAAGAGCTCTAATGGGGTCACGCGTGAATTGCACGCCCCCGAAGGCTTGTTGAATGTTTCCCGTCGTCTAAATAAAAGTTAAGAGAAAAGGCAATTTTTGAATTTCCTGCACTTTTCACTCCTCTGCGTTTGGTGGAATGGTGAAAAGAACTACAGCACAAATCACAAAGACCTTCGCATACCCCGACTTTTGCTCTCTTTCAAAAGGAATTCAGAAAGCTCCGTAATACAAACCACCTAATCGCTTCTCCCTTCACTACAGACAGATAATACAACATTTCTCTTTGTAGAACTCGTGTAAGGGAACTGTCGGGCTTCCCAATTTCGATACAAGGGGGATAGGCACGGGTAAACAATTAATTTTGGGCAGAGGCGGTAACATTAGTAAAATTGAATAAAAATGACTGCATGATTGTAGGCTAAGATTTCCGAAAAAAGCAGCATTCTGAATAAGAAATTATGAACTCAAACCCTGGTCTAGTATCTCTAGTTTCCGCTTTTTTCGTACAATACCTGTTACGCGGCAAACCAGAAAATGTGGAAATATGGAAATGTGCAGACGATTAGAGCTTTCTATTTGTTACCGCTTAGGACACACAACTTTTCCCAGAACGTTCTTGAACAAAAAAAAAAACAAATCAGGGTTGAAGCACTTACTGTAACAGTCTCGCCGTGCCCGACCTTGATGATTCCCTCGCTGCCTTCTTTCTTGATGGTGTTCTTGAATTGGACAATATCTTTGCGGTTCCAAAGTGATGCTGGAGCGATTTCGGGATTTGCTGAAGTTGCGAAAGTCTCAAACAAAAGCATCGAAACTAACATGGAACCAACATATACAACAACGACAACAACAGTGACGCCTGTCAAAGATAGTATGACGGGACCCGGCAACGGACCACCCAACACTTCAACACTGCTTGGCCAAATTAAATAACGAAAAAAAAACAGCAGTTCTGGGAAATTCGCGATATCAATCCGTTTAGAACATAAATTGATGCAAAACCCTGTAATTCACGGCAACAGGCCATGTGATCTGACATCGGGTGAAAAAATCTAGCTCACTAGGGATCAGTTCTTACCCAGTTCATGGGAAGCATGCATTCCTGGAGAGGAGGGCGAGACACAACATGCCCACGATAAACTAGCGAGCGAAATCAGGCAAGCAAGGGGCTGCGAAGAAGCGATAGAAGTTATTTGAGTGAACAAAAAACGCCTCTTCGTAGCCCCACAATGGCCAACTTGTGACACAACAAACCCACAGTGACAGAAGAGTCCCATTTGTGCGTGAATGGACGACACTTCAAACGAAATCGAATTAAATGAGAAATTCGAAGTGGTGCAAGTAATAGTGAAAAACTAACAAAAAAGAAGTCAGCTTTGAAGGCTTCACAAGAAGAAATATGGTGCATTTAGTCATAAGCAAGTGAGATCCATCATGCTGTGTTATAATCTTCGTTACCTCCGCGTTGCTCGATCGCTATGATATCTTCCAAATAATAAAACTTCTCAGGAGGGATTAGAAGATTACGCTAGCGTTGTGAGTGACCTCAACACTAGCTGGGGGCCTGACAAGGTGAAGCATGACGTCGTGGGTAATGGCCTTGTCGATACAATCACTCTACTCAAAAAGAACGAGTCCACTTTTATCCACGAGTCCGATGAGAAAATTTGTGTCGACATCTTGTTTTGGATGTTTAGTTCTTATACAGTAGCTTATAAGTAACAGACACGGTCGAGGTGTACCCATTCGTGGCATAAAATAGATGGCAGTAGCTTCACTTACACAATGATTTCTACTTGAATATTAACTCATACAATCATCACCTAAGTGTACTGGCAAGCATAACGCTAACTGCAGAAGCAGCGCTTCTCAAAGATCCCAGCAGAGCGCTGAGGAAGCATCTACTCGGTCTGGGCCTCGTGTTCGCGAAGACTGGATTTTGCCAATAAAGATTTTCACTTTTTTAAAATATTTTCCTCTTGGCATGATAGCAGGACACAAGCCCATTGAGAGGGGTGAAAGCAAATCGCACTGTCCACGTCTAAGCTGGGCCACTGAGCGCGATAGTATGGAGTGGTCCAGCACGGCTCGCTTACCAGCACAAGCACATTAACAAAATTCGATGAGGTGATACTGCTTCCTCAAAGAGCCAATGGCCTGCTCTTGTGAATGTGTGAGGATTGAAGCTTAGAATACTAAACCACCCGGACAAGTAAGATTACAGCAAAAATGCGAAAAAGTTGTTGCGTCAAGTCGGTGCAAAATGACGCCAAATCGCGTCAGCATCAGTAGCGAGAGCTACTTACTCTTTACAAGCGCATTTCTAATCTCTGCTCCGAGCTCTCCCATAGAACTTTTTTTCGTCTTTTGGGACGAATAGATTAAGAACGGCAATAATTCTTCAACAGTCGACAATATCTATTGCGAACGTATGGTGCTCGAGATTCAAAAGCGTGCGTATTTATGTCACTGGATCAAAAACACTTCACAGTCAATCGAGTAAGGGTTATGCCTTCTCAGCGTCCAGATACCGAAATACTAGCTCCGACAACATTGGTTTCATGATTAAAACATTTAGGAAGCAGCTGTGCCACATTTCCACCGTAAGAACAGAGGTGGCGTAGAGGAGAGTGGCACACTATCACACACATTGGTCCATAGATCGAATCGAAACCCTCGCAGACCAGCAAAGCCTCCCTTCCATCGGGTCGGTCAATTGGTAACATACCCGCTCCGAAGAATGAATAACTGACTTGTTCATCGGCTGACCATGCCAGCGAGTCATTAGTTAAGTGGCTGCTTTCACAGTCCGCCGGCGTGCCGGCGTGCCGGCGGACTAGGAAAGCAGCCAGTCAGTCATTGCACGCATTCGAAAGTGCCGTTACGATACTGACTGAAAATCGAATGCGGGGCGCATTCCAAAAAAAGCAATTAACCCCAATTGCTTAATTTATCCTTTTATCCCCTCTGAACAGCCTTTCATCGAAACATTTAACTTTCTCCACCGGCTATTCAAAATGTTGACTTTCAAATCATTCAATGCACTAGGACAGGCGGAGGTGCTATATTGTTATGAAGCCGAAACCAAGTGCATGTCTGAGATCCCGAGGATCGAACCCTGATTACTACTCATCTAGCCCAACCTTCCATCACTTCACGGTCAAGAGACTAAAGGACTTGTTCGATGTTCGACAAAGCCAGGATCCAAAAATCATTGAACTAGTGAAGTGCGCATTTTGAAGGGGAATGTATTGCGTAGATGTATCCCAAACGCAAAGCATTACATTGGCGAAACTGACCATTGCCGAGCCCGAACATTTGTTTTTTATTCATTCTATGGAAAGTACGACTACAGTGATTTCGCACCTAATGAGAATAGTTTCGTGTCTATGTCACAACCCTAATTAGACCTTAACCAGAACAATTTCATCCAAATATTCCATGTTTCCTCAACCACTCCACCGCACCAGTTAAGCCAATTTAAAATCTTACGTGAAAGGCAATAAACATATTTTTGCTTTGCTCTAGTAGCTTTCCCAAGATTAGTTGAGACCTTTCACAAGATAGAGGAATTCACAGTGAATACTGGAAGTTCTGGTAGGAGCACGATGAAGCGACGATTATACAATATCTCTTCGATTCACAAAGACTCACAAATTTGAAAGGAAATAATTAGCAGCAAAACAGCAGTAGAAATTATAGCTATTGCAGATGGAACACACGTAGAATAAGCGAAAACACGCTAGTCAAGCAAGAAAGATTTCCAAAGAAAGGAAAACTACCATGATTTTATCTTCGACTTAGCTTTCTGAGAAGAATATATCGAGATGACAATGTACTTTTGTATACACATAAAGAATAAAACAACGCAAATGCATCCAAACCCTGAGAAAAGGAGAACCAGGGTGAACAACCTTAAGCTCTAACTTCACAGGCTCACTTTGCACTTCATTTTGATGGGCCATTATAGCGATTGCGTATGAAAAGTCTACATTACGGCTCCCTTTCATTCCGAAATGGTCGAAGGGCATTTAATATAATGCTATAATATTATTTCTCATTAAACACCTTATCAAGGAGGAGGAAGTGTTGGCGAGTGATGCTTTATCATATACGCACGATCACGGGTTCGAATTCCAGAGCGATATCCGCCTAGGCCAACCATCCCACCGGGATCGGTCAACTGGTACCAGACTTGTCTGGGAGGATAAAAGCACTGACCTGACTTGTTCACCGGCTGGCCACCGCAAGTCATTGTATAGGGAACATGCAAATTCAATACGCACTACGATTCTGAGTGGAAGACGAATGCGGGGCGCAACCCTCAGACCGGATTGATCAAAGCCCAAAAACTTAATCTTCTATCCTTCACAGACCATATAATTGAACTCGCAGTGTACGACCAGACCAGTACTGCTATAATCTGTCGCGAGAATAAAGGGACGAACTGAGCAGCACTGATCAACTTCCCTGAAGGGAGCATTCACTGTAGACAAACTCTAGATTCCCGAAGAAGTCTGCCGGCAAATAATCTGTTTATGGGGGTGTTTTAGAAAAGACATTCAAAAAGGAGTGTCTGAAGGGCCGATGAATGAGTAAAAGGTCCCCTAGTGAACCATTTTTTCCATTGTTACCTTCTCTGTGAGTTTGGAATTGTTTCTGTGGCAAGTAGTCACCCAGTGGAATTGAAAACGAATGCTACCATAAGATTGTTTTCCATGCATCGGAAAGTGAAATCCCTTGTCCCTAATACTGTCAACAACTGAGCGGAAGAAATTCACTTGTTAGTGTGGCTTTATGTAATCGAGTGTGTGAGTACCAGCACAAATCGATTGGATTGAACAAACATCTTCAGTGGGACTGAGACTTTCCTCCCAATCCGCAACAGATCCATTCAAGCATTCACCGATACGAACAATGAAGGAGACCTACATGGCAAATCATCTCCTGGTTCCTCGTCGCTTACATCGCTGTCGTCATCATGGGCACGCTGTTCATCATCGAGTTCAGCGGCTGTGGCGGGTGGACGTCGTTCGCTTTGAGGGACCGCTGCCTCTGCTTGCTGAGCATATACCTGAGAAAATAAGCGATATTAGTAGGCAAAGAAGATAAAGAATTCCACAGAAAAAAAAANAAAAAAAAACTAGCGAAATCCAAAAAGCGCCGACGAACCTGCGACATATATTGCTGGTAATGCTGCTCCTGGAGTTCACGGATAAGGGCGGCTTGCTAAAATGATCACTATGCAATCATATTAATTGGTGGAGTTCCATTCGAACTGAACATGAACAAAAAGTGTCGTCCTTTTTAAAGCAGGCAACTAATACTTGGATCATTCGACTGTGCTGCTTTTACACCTCCCCAAGGAGTCCTTTGCATTCCTGCAAACTACACCCAAAACAATGGCTGTTTTGAGAGATCTTCTGAGTGGACCACGAGTCCTGCACTAAGCAAGCAGCATCAGCGAATGCTAGAAATCAAAACAAACCCGCCATTCAACAATATCTTAAATTGAACCACTTAAAACCCCATTACAAATCGGGTACAGCTGAGCTATTCTCCCTTCAAAAACTTCAACTTTAATTTGTTTTGGTGATTTTGAATTTACACTTGAGCAATAATAGCTCTAGCTTCTGTGGGTCATGCGACCTTCTGATCGACAAGGACATTGTGTTGTGACCGAGGACGACGGCAATCAGCTGTTGCTTTGATCAGCGAAGCCGCACTTCACGCACCGACCGATAGCGGACAACCATCGTCACCACCCAGTCAATCTGTCGGACGGCCACCGCCCCCCTCCAAGTCTTATCTCTGTTTGATCCCGAGCCGCACGTACGTATCTCCATCATCCGCGGACTCATCTGATTAACCTAATTATCACTCTTGATTGCAACATTGAATGTAGTCTTATTGATATACTACCTACGACTTGTTAATGTTTCAAGGGCTAGTGGGGAAGATGCCGTTGAAGGACTTCCAATCATTCGATCTTACTCAAAACACCTCGACTTTACTCAAAACGCCTCATTCGACTTTATTTTTACATTTCCACTCTCATTTAGTAGATACAGTTCGTATACAACGGCACTCCAAAACCTTTAAGGAATACATCCATCCCTACAATCATTCAGCGACCTAACATAGACTCATAGATGCCAAGTGCTACCCTGATCCTCACAAGATGTGCTACTTTTTCGCTCGCAGATTTTCGGATACTTACGATTTTCAGTGAACTCTGGCACTGTGATTTAGGCACCGACACAGAAACGGTGGTGGTAAGTGCTAAAAACCATGGGTAACTAATTAGGGTAGATGTCCGCCGTCGATGGGGTTTCGTGGCTTTTGCATAATCCATTAACCTGGATGTTATTCAAGGTAAAGGCATAACAATAGGTTGGAGAAATACTTCAGGGGGTGCCTAAACTCATGACCCTTCGTTTGGAAAACTATTTTCATTGAGATGAGTTCCAGATTGATGCACCCAAGGTGAAGCGTAGAAACCGTCAATGGGCTTGCAGTTACTTCCACATCGAGTGATTATTCGTCCAAACCACCTATACAAAATGATATGTTATCGTCCCCACACAGCAGAAGTGCTGGCCACACTGTAAGAAAGCCCGTCCAATTTCTTTGTTTGTATGCGATTACCAGCTCCGCAGCATAACCAATCAAAACGTTTAGAACGAAGAGACCGTAGTAAAATCGCGAAGTTAAGATCGCAGGGTAGAAAGCTTCCACAAGAGACATTGTGATTAGTGTGATTCTCAGGTCTATGTTAGTCCAATACCTCAAAGTACACAATTTTCTGTCATTATATCAATTGTTTTTTCATTCTTTACGCTGTCATTAAACATGTCTGTTTTACGGCTCGAACTCTGAGCGCCAACACCATGAACCTACCTACCACCCACTTCCGCTTAGTCATCCTGAACGCTTCAAAGGCGTCATAGACAATGAGCAAAAGAAAGCAATGGAAATAGAAGTTTGGGTGACGCTCGTATAGAAATCTCAGGGCATCTCGCCGTACTCGCGAGCAACCTTCTTCGACTTGGCAGTTGGCAAACAATGACAGCTACCGCACCCAGAGCCGCCTAAACCTCGTATCTTTCAGGGCCGAGCGTTACTGCTGTACATGGACACACTCAACAGGGACTGCCTGTCGCAGATATTCCTCAAACTCAATTTCATCGAGCGAGTTCGATTAGAGCATGTATGTCGTATGTTCTACTATGTGCTGCAGGTGAGATTAGTCCCTCGTTAAGAGGCAGTGAAAGTTCTATCGATGAGCAGATCCTTAGTATGATGTTCTTCAGCAACAGTCTACCTTTTCTGATAACGTTAAAGTGGATATATCGGAATTTCTGATAAATACCTCGACAGATTACTACCAGCAGGTAAGGAGATCAGCAACTTGTTCGCAATGGAAACAACGGTAAGGTAAACTTAACGAACAATGAATTGCTTGTTCAGGATAGCCTGAGCTTTCTTCCGACGGTCGTGGGAGTGATCGAACGATGCGGCCACTATGTTCAACAGCTGAGTTTCGGGCAACGATGGTTGCGCATTTCACAGCCAATAATCGACTGCATTGCCGAGTGAGATCTCGTCAGCTCTCCAAACTGCGTTATGAGTTTTATTGAACTAAACAATGCAGAAACTGCAAGCGACTCACTGTCGTGGATCTCGGAGCAGTGATTCTCAACGCCGACTTGAGCCCTCTGTTAGAGCAAATCGCGCCCCAGTTGCAGGAATTTTCGCTCGAAGAGACCAGTTGGATTAATATTGAGTGTGCCGAGAAGGTGAATTGATTTCCGCCAATAACATCGCTTGATTCATAGAAATCCGGACAATTCAGGTGCAAAACTACTTTAAATCGATGAAGAAGCTGCAGAAGCTCAATCTCCGTTCCGCCATGTTTCAACTTACGCGACTCGCCGAATTACCGGCAACCCTGCAGTGAGGTTTTCACGGATCAAACACCGCGTATACACAACCTACAATATCATTCAAACGAATGCACTTTTAGGTATCTAGAGATCGGAGGCGCCCACTCGTTCCCCTCTGAAGTGCTTCTGGAATTTTTGCAAAACCACGACCGGCTCGAAGAATTCCACGCATCACCGGTGCCAGTGCTTGATGAGGAAATAATCGCCGCTATTGGATCATTGGCCAATCTGCGACATCTTTCTCTTGGCCACTCTTACAATACCGATTTGCACTTCGATGAGTTAGGGAACCTGATGAGTCTGGAGTCCCTTCGATTGAATGTAAGTACCTTTAACAGCTTGTGAACAGTTCAAACGTTCTCTGGTCGCATCAAAAAGCATACTTCGCACGAAACAACAGCTGTTGCTTCAGACTGCACCAAAACCGAGGGTTATTCACAAAAAAAGGGTTCTACGAAAGTAGAAAAAATCATACATCTTGACAAACCAGTCAGGGGCTTTAAAAGACTTAAAAGCATTGGAAGGGCTTTTTCTGAAGATTTAGAGTATTTTTCATGGGTATTCTATGTTTGAGAGTCTTAGAAGACTTTTCCTAGTCCATTGTTTACGCAAAAGAGTACCGAAACTATTTTTCACGTGCCTAATGAACTCATCGATCTTAGTCTGCCGATATTTGAGCTCCCCCAGTGCACGAGAACTTGAATGTTTTAAAGTTGATGTTTTGTTAACAGCTGCTTTCGACGCTGTAGGCGATGTGCCCGGCAAGCACAAGTACGGATTCGGGTCCCGCCTCAGACTTAGTATTTGATCCACTGCTTGCCAACCTTGATTTGACTATTTGCTGAATGTTTTTCAGCATGAGTATATGACTATCAAAGATGCATTGAGTAGTACAGGAAAACTTGCAGCCCTCGCAAAGTAATTTGAACTGAGCTATTGTTTAGGATGTGTACGGCTTGACAGATACGTCTCTACAGCTCATTTTGTCACGACTATCGAAGTTAGAACGAATCACGCTGGCAAATTGCAAGAGCGTCTTCGACTATACTGCCCTTGGCAACTGTTCGCGACTGCAATCTCTCGAAATTCGAAACACTATGCAACTTGCTAACGAGGATATACTTGCCCTTTGTTCGTATGGCAATCTCAAACGACTCGTGCTTTCGAACTGCTTCAATTTCTCATCACGTGGAGTGAATATCGCACTGATGCGCTGTCAGTTGAAAGAGGTTCGTTCGATTACGTAGAGACAACTTCATTAGGAAAGTTGAGCCATGGCCGATTTGCAATCAAGAACACGAAGTTTCTGTTCATCACTGCAAGATTCGCAACCTCATTTTTGGACTTCAAAAAAAGCGAAACAATGGCGCGCAGTAGGCCTAGTTCGCTTTTCGTTTGAAGATACAATCCCTGCTAATTCCATCCTTTGAACGGATCCGATTTAATGGCGGTGTCCCCCAATTAAGGGAGTATCGCGCATTCTAAAGTCAAGTATGACCGCTGTAACATTATTGACCACACCAAGATTACCTTTGACGCAACTCTCATTCAGGAAGCGGACTGGGTTTGGTTGTTAGCGAAAAAAGACAGCGGTTTCTATACACATTTGGGCACCATACATGATATTTCAAACAATAAGTTAGTAGAATGGTGCAAAGCAAGAAGCTGGAATCCATAATAATCAGCTCCTGTTTTTCTTAACAAAAAAAAACGGAGTTGGGCCTTTCAACACTGGCAAAAAAAAAAAGGGGGGGGGGGGGGGGCTTGTTAAGCAGTGTGGATATCAGCAATACCTATCATAAGCAGCAATAAAAGCAGTTTCAGTTGACGGTCAATAAATGTGCGAGGGTTACCGACGAGATGATGTACACACTGGCATCAACACAACGAGAACTAGAGAGCATTTCCATCCAGGAATGCTCGGCTATCACCAGGTAAGACAATAACGATTACTCTTCAAAGCCGGAGGAATTGCGCATTATAGATTTGAAATACAAAAAACGGGTGGAGGTATCAGTAAGAAGAGGCTCGTCCCATATCACCGCTGAAACTCTCTATTTCCTCTTAAAACACCAAGACTAGGTATCACAATTTAGGAATTCTTCGAAGTTTATATGAAAAAATAGCAACCAAAAGAAGCCAAAGTCTAGACACTACGATTAGATTTTATTGCTATTCTGAACTCTTCACGAGGTTTGTAAACAAGCTTTATTAGGCTGACGTTTCGGCGATATCGCCTTCTTCAGAGCCTGAAAGGATCATACCAATTTGTGATTACCCGATCAAACGTCTCCACCAACTCACCGAAGTTCGAACCCCCCAGGGCACACAAGTGATCGAAAGGAGAGGCACTCACCGTAGCTTCGTGGAATCTTCGAAACCACCCAGCAAGTGATGGTGCCAACCGACCAGTGTCAGCTGGGGTAAACCTTCATTAAAAGTCACCGCGGGAAGGCCAATCTTATATAAGGCCGCAGCTCCCGCGTGATTGCGAGGCATTCTTCCCTACGATTCATTTTTGGATCGGTGACTTGTATCCAAAATGCCTCGAGGGTTTTGCGTGCGCACAATTCTGACTCTTGTGCTACGACCTCCACGGTAACCTCAAAAACGCCCCCGTTATGCTTTCGAATGCGGTGACTCCCTAAGGCAGTAGACTCTTTCAATCGTCTCATACCAGCTATGTGCTCCTTAATCCTCACGTGGAGTGGTCTTGCCGTCTCGCCAATATACTCATCACCACAATCACGGCAAGTAATTTTGTAGACCACCCCAGACATGTTACAATCACCTTCCCTTCCAGCTGGGCAGACCACACAGTTTGAGGTTGTACAGAGGCGATCGTACAGCCTATTCCGAACTAGGAATAGTAATCACAAATTGGTATGATCCTTTCAGGCTCTGAAGAAGGCGATATCGCCGAAACGTCAGCCTAATAAAGCTTGTTTACAAACCTCGTGAAGAGTTCAGAATAGCAATAAACTCAATAATACAGTTATGCCGAGGTTCATAGAAAGCCGTACTTGGAAGTTACTACGATTAGAAATATGACCATATGTAGTCCTTCTTATTTTTCTACATTCTATATTTCTTTGAGGCTACGAAGGCCAGTGAATAAAAAAAAACTCGGGGATTTTAGGGATTTCAAATGTTGCGGGACCACTGATGGGAACTAGCAGCAAATTTGCACGTACCATAGGTGTTTCACAAAAGTCAGCAAAAATTCAGAAGCACCAATAACAGCAAAAATCACCCATATTCATCTAACAATGAGTATTGTTTGTCTCCTTGCTCGAACGCAGTTTTCCTTTCTCTTCCCCAGAATAGAAGAGGTATGTGGGGACTACACAATGGCTCCAAATCGATCAACATGAAATGAGCCTCGAGAATCAGAACTTCGAAAAACAGACTGAAGCACACACAGTGGTGTGCAATGGATAGGAAGGTCATAGATGAAGTGAGACGTTCATGTTTAGCAAGGGAGTCTCAGCGTTGGCATGGCTACGGAACATTCATTTATTACGCGAGGTGGACGTATCTCGGAATCGAAATGTCGACGATACCGTGGTACGCAACCTGCACACTGCCCTCGTCACTTCGGCAAAACGCCACCGCTCCCCTTCAACCGACAGCAAGACAGAAGCTGACAACGAGCCTCACAAGGTAGCCATAGATGCTCATATTTTAACCCTGCTAAATTGTAACATTTCTTCAGAAACTAGTGATGTATATTTTCGACACGAGCATCTCACGGGCAGTCGAGCAAGAAGTGAAAGACTGGATAACGCTTTGCTAGCGTACTTTGGAAATTTTGTTGATGTTTAAACATTATTTTGGTTCAAACATGGGTATGTATTATTACAACTGTGTACATAGAAAATTGTGAAGAGTATGCTATGCCAATGAATGTTCTTTATTCTCAGAGTCCCCTTGCTTTCGCTCAATCATTCCAAAGATGTTTCACAACCAGAAGACAACAGTAGAGCTTATGCCTGCAACGTGCCAAAGCGAATGGGTGGGGGTCTCAACACAAAGGGAAACATTAGAGGTTGGCGCATAGAACTTGTGAAAGAAAAGTGTCAATGGGTGCAAAACTCAAGGGTGAATCATAAAAGAGTTAAAACTGGGCCTACATATACGAACGAAACCAACAGATGATGTCATTTCCAGCTCAATGGCTTCTGTCCTAACAGAAATAAAAGGATAAAGGTTTTGGCGTTAATAATCCCGTCTGAGGGATGCGCCCCCTCACCCGACTTCAATTCAGAATCGTAGTGGCGTAATGAGTGCATGCGTGGCATATACAATGATTTGCGGTGGCCAATCGATGCACAAGTCAGTACTTTCATCCTCCCAGACGAGTCTGGTACCAATTAACCGACTTCTGAGGGATGGAAGGCTTGGTTGGCTTAGGCGGGCATCGATCCGGGATTCGAACCCCTGACCGTGCGTGTGATATAGTGCGCCACTTGCCACTACACCACCTCCGCCCTCCTAACAGAAATACCCTACATATACTCGGTTTATGAAAAAAAAGACCAGAACACACCTGCTCAGGTTGTCCGGGAAATTGTTGCTGGGCGTATGCACTGAACTGGTGGTAGGTCTGTGCGTTGAGGGCTTCTTGAATCTGCTTTCTGGAATTGTTCAGAATCTCATTTCTCATTCCAGAAAAATCATGCACGTTCTCATTGCCTGCATATGGGATGCCTTATGGGATTTAGGGAAAAGTTAACCAGAAATCAAGAGAGGCTTGAAAGTCTCTGAAAGAAGAACCTAGGAGAGGCGAAGGGCCCAGTCTAATAAATTTGTGTCATAAGGTAAAGGTGATTGCAATTGTAATAATTGCAGAGTAAAGCCACCATAAAAAGAAAAGACAAACCCACTTCTGAGTTTCGAACACCTCCCAGTTGAGCGTCTGCTCAGGTTGCTGAGTGAGATCAAGCTGACGTAGTTGAACGGATTTTTCACTGAAAACAGCAGTAATCAAAGTATGAAGAAAATTGCAGACACGCACCAATCATGCTTGCTCACTTTAATGACATTAAAATCTATATATACAGAAGATTCTTGGAAAACAAGCCCATGAAATTTTTCTCAAAAAAAAAAAAAAAAAAAAAAAAAAAACTAAAATGAAGTGAGCAACGGAAGCGTTCGCGTCAGCGCCTATGTTCTTATTGATTTGCTCCGGGAAGCCGATTATTTCTATCCTTCTGAAGGAGCTGTTCAATCTAAAGGAACAAGCTCAAATGCAAGATAGACACGAAGGCACCGCAAGGAGATACACTGAGAATAGAGCATTAAAGCCTACATCAAGGCATCGGAGACGGCTCACACACAAAAGGAGGAGCAAATCAATAACTCCGAGCTGAGCACAAGAAGCTGTACTAATTCACAACCTACTCATAGCCTGTCAGATGTCAAGATCTCCGTCAAACGTACAACTATAATCAATACATCATAGAAGATGAAGTGAATGACTAAAAAAATTGGATCTGAAACCTCATCGTCTCGCAGAAAGCGGAGGAACTCATCATGGAATAGGAGCCTGTCTTTGAATTTTGAGCCCCATTACTAGCGTTCAATTGAGGTACATTGGAACTATTTTTTACATGAATACTCTATTCGTTCATCGAGAAGAATTTTTCAAAAACAGACCACTTCCACAATTTTCGAAAAACCTAGAAAATATAAAGAACAAGTTTCCGATCTTTTCTACGTAGAAAAATACCATGTCCACAATTATCTTCGAAAGTTAGCTACGTCATCTCGGTACATTAGAGCACAGTGAAACCTACAAAATTGAAACTACCATGCTATGTTTCTAAGCGATTTCTCCAAGGTTTTCGGAGCAGTCCGTCAATATTCATCATTTACTATGTATGAAACGCACGATCCCTCACAAATTGTAGCGATTTCAAAGCAGAGAACAGCCAAAAGAGAGGGTTGGGTAAGGCGGAGTTGTGAAAACGGCTATTTGATATCGCTGGGGCAGTTATCTTGGGTTGTGTCCTCCCTCTCAGTCCTCTTCTCAAATCTGTACAATATTAAGGCCACAGAATAGGAGCACTGCGTTACTGCCTCAAATCAAATCTAAAGGCTCGCAGTTGCGGCTAGCAGTTGCAAAAGTCTTAAGACAAAAATTCACATGCAACGTAGTTTCACTAGAACATTTGCCGGTCACGAACCATCGAACCACGATTAGTAATAATCATTGAGATCTCCGAGCGCTTCTCTTTTGAACCATCGTCGTCGTCGATCTTCGAGAAACAGCTTCGACTGGTCTACTTCTACGAATGACGCCGCCGCTTCTATACTCGTTCTGCAGACTCCAAAATGAGTACTACTTCCGGAGCGCCTCGACAGCCATGCAACCATCAGTCGTTTATTCGCTCGTTTTCATCCCGGAGATAGCCGCTCGACGGCAATCCTTGTCCGATAACCAGTTGCTACGATGATGACCGACTACTCAGCGAAGTGAAGAAGAGTGTGGAGGCCACGAGCTTCTCGAGTGCGATCGAAGCAACTTTGATCGACATCTCTATAAGCACGGTTGCAAGAAAAGCTCTTGCGCGATGATTTCGCACCAACTGATTGTCAATCTCTGGCCACACGCATGTCTCAACCAGTCAATCGCTTCTCTTCAACTCCAGAAGAGTTCTTACAGGTTCTGGTAATGTTAAGTGAGAAATGGATCCTACAAGACAACAACAAGAAGGTCTCTTTCTGTCTCCTCCAACGAGATCCGCTGGAGCAGTCTCAGCGCAAACAGCTCCCGAGTGAGATTTCGCTGGTAGCGTTTGCTTCGCCCCCACTGACCATCACCTTGTTAAAGATCTCGAACTATTCCTGGTCAAGAAGAATTCGCCAATTTCGGTGACCTCAAAAATGCTAGGACCAACTTCTTTGACTGATAGCCTTCATCATTTCAGGGAAAGAGGTGAGCGAATTTCCTCTCATTCGCCCTCTTAAATGAAACTCATAGACATAATGTTGATTATATAGTCTAGCGAATAGTGAGAGCTCGGATAAAATTGTAAGAGTTCAAAAAGTGCATCAAAGTCTCTCAAAAATTTACATCACTTTATTGGGTTGCAGAGTTCTTGCCGTTTTGGTCGACCTGCGCCATATGAATTCATAATTTGGCGGCTATCAAATTGGCGGTGACCAACCGACGTATGATGCTCCTCAGGTAAACCATTAATTGCTTCTTCTGTAAGAGCGCTTTTTCCCGGATTTAATTTTTTTTTCTGGAAATTCTCAAGGTGCTTTCTTGCGAAATGGATAAGACTGTTTTTCGAACGGTTTCATTTAACGAGTTCAGGCTTGGTCAAACTGCAGATGAGGCAGCCCAAACATCAACGTTGCATGGGGAGAGACACTGCATTGGAGCGAGCGTCAGTGGTTTCAGAAATTCAGGAATGAAGACGAGTCACTGAAAGACAAAGAGCGAGTTGATCGATCATCACTAGTTGATCACGATGCTGTGCTGAGCGCATTCAAAGGAGATTTGCTTCAACCTTCGAGCGAGATTACCAAGCATATGAGCCTTTCCCATACATTCGTCGCTGAAAACCCCGAACAGCTTGGAATGTAAAGAAACATGACAAGGGGGTGCCACAGCAACACATGGAGCAGCAGCAACTGGGATGCCTGAAATTCCAAGTCCTTTGCTGAGGGGAATGATATTGAGCTCTTCCTTCATCAGTGATTATGCGTTTGATGAAAATGGATTGTATATGACAACGGAAAGTGTTCTGTTTAGTGCTTCAGCGTATATGAGCCCCAAAAGCCTAGCTCGAGCTAGGTTTACAAGGCAAGAAGGCAATGATCAAGCGTGGATTAATTCCACTCTTACCTTCGACCTATCATTCATCACCGCCTAGTCCTATTGCGATCAAATTTACGAGATGTACACGAAGGTGGGGCGAACGCAGCCAGCACTAGCGAATCGCCATGGTCCACTGCTTTTGCACGACAATCCGCCGACCGCATGTGTCATAATTCGTCTTCCATAAGTTGAACGGGCTGCTGATCGAGGCTCTCTTTCATCCGCACTACTCATCAGATCTGTCACCAACTGAGTTCCATTGATTCAAACACTAGACCACTTCTTAGAGGATCGAAAATTCAAAAGCCAAGGCAACGTGGAAGCTGCCTATTGCGAATTTCTAGAATTCAGATCACCAGGCTTCGATAAGAATGGAATAAACCAACTTGTATCACGTTACCAAAGATGTGTAGAATCGAATGGGGCTTATTTTATATGCAAATGTTCATTTTGAGATGAGTTATGATTTTTTGAGAATTAGCTGAATCGACAAAGACTATAATTATGTCCTAATAGCACTTAAACGACGAAAAAGTTCGAAGACCATACATTGTACTTGACGTTCTTAGGCTATAATCTGTGTCAAATTCACGTCGGACTACTGAAAGAAATGAAATGGCTGACGAATGTAGACTACTCTTCCATGACCGAAATACGCTATAGAACTAAACGCTGACAACAGTTCAGAATTCAAAAGCTTATGTGAAGCTGAAAATAGAAGCTTCAAAATATGCTGATTTCGTGAAGATGAGGCACACACAGCATGATCCATACATTTGACATTCTGTTTATTTTGTGAACATCAACATAGACCGTTAAAGACATTGACGGCTACCGAATACGCGTCTAGGTGTAAATTATATTTTAACGGCTAAATTGCTCGACATGGGTCAGGTTGCCGTCACTTTTGCCAGAAGTTACGAACACCGTTTGAGAAGCTCCATAAATCAGGAAGTAACTACAAG